GATTTTTCCATTCTCCGATTTTAAATTTTAGATTTTTTCAATTTTTCGATTTACCGACATTTCGATTTCTCGATTTTTTCGAAAAATGTTTTAATTGTTCAATTTTTAAAACTAAAAAAAATCAGTTTTTTGATGCTTCGATTTTTGAATCTTTCGATTTTTCGACTTCTCGGTTTTAGATTTTTCGATGTATCGATTTTTTCATTTTTCGTTTGCTTAATTTTACGATTTTTAAATTTCTCGATTCGTGAATTTTTTGATTTTTAAACTTTTCAATTTTTCATTTTTAAAATTTTTTTGGTTTTTCGATTTTTCGAGTTTTTTATTTTTCCAATTTTTGATTTCTCGATTTTTGATTGTTTCGATTTCCCAATTTTTCAATGTTTCGGTTTTAGGATTTTTCATTGCTCAATTTCTCTTCGTTCGTCAATTATTCGATATTTTAGTTTTTGGACTTTTCAATATTTCGATTCTCCAATATTTCGATTTTTCGATTTCTCGATCTTTTGATGTTTCGTTTCTCGATGTTTCGTTTTCCGATTTTTCAATTCTTCGATTTTGAATTTTAGATTTTTTAATTTTTCTATTTTTTGATTTTTCGGTTTTTCAGTTTTTTGATTGTTTAATTTTTTAAATTTTAGATTTGTCAAATTCTCGATTCTTGATTTCCCAATTTTTTTACTTAGTTTTTCAACATTTCTATTTCTAAATTTTTCTAATTTTTCAATTTTTAATTTTTTAATTTATTGATTTTTCAATTTTTTGTTATTTTAAATGTTACATTAACCGACTTTTTTTCGGTTTTTAAAAATTTTCGACTTTTCGATTTCTAGATTTCTCGATTTTTCAAGTTTTCAATTTTGGGAATTTTTCAATTTCTGGAGTTTTCAATTTTTCGATATTTTGAATTTTTCGAATTTTTGTTGTTTCGAATGCTCGATATTTCTATTTTTCGACTTTTCGGATTCCTATTTTTCGGTTTTTCGATTTTTTGATTTTTAAAATTTTTTATTTTTGAATTTTCGACTTCTCAGTTTCAAAATTTTGCAATTTTTCATTTTTACAGTTATTTTTGTTAGAAAATTTCAACTTTAATTTTTCAAGTTTTTGAATTTTCGGTTTAATTATTTTATAATTTTTGGATTTTAATGTACTTACACGATTTTTAATTATCTGAAGTTCTTTGTTTCGACTTTCAAATATTTTGATTTTTCGATTTCATAATTTTGCAATTTTTCGATTTTTCAATTTTCTAATTTTTCCATTTTACTATTGTCTGATTTTGCAGTTTTTTAGTTTTAAAATTATATACATATGTATGTATATGAATTTTCAGTTTTGCGATTTTGCACTTTTTTGATTTTTTCGTTTTATATTTTTACAGTTTTTCGATTTCGCAGTTGTCCAGTTTTTAATGCATCAGTCTTACAATTTTTGATTTTTCAGTTGTCAGATTTCCAAATTTTTTGATTTTTCAATTTTTCGATTTTACATATTTTAATTTTACATTTTTACAATTTTTGGACATCCCAGTCATTATTTGGATTTAATTAATCAATTTCTAAACTTCTAATGTTATAATTATTCGCTTTTTCATTTATTCAACTTTTAATTTTTCAGTTAGCAGTTTCGTTGTTACGATTTTCCAATTTTTTTATTTTAATTTTTAAAAATTTCTGTTTTGGATTTTTCGATTTCGTAATTTCCCAATTTATTGATTTTTAAATTTTATGATAATTCTATTTTACAATAATTATTATCTACAATTTTATATTTATGCAATTTTTCAGTTTTACAGTTTAATAATTTTTAGACTTTATAATTATTCAGTTTTTCAATTTTGTAATTTTAGGAATTTTCATTTTTTAATTTTTATTTGTTAAAAATATCAACTTTAATTTTCATACTTTTGAATTGCCGATTTAATTATTTTACAATTTTTCGATTTTAAAGGCACTTATACGATTTTTTAATTTTTGATTTTTCAGAACCTTTTGTTTCAATTTTCAAATTTTTTTTATTTTTAATACCCATTTTAAAATTTCGATTTTCTGTTTTCCAAGTTTTTGATTTTTCAATTTCATAGTTTTGCAATTTTTCGATTTTCAATTTTATAATTTTTCTATTGTATTATTGTCTGATTTTTCGATTTTTCAGTTTTTCAGTATTAAAATTATATAAATTTTCAGTTTTATATTTTTGCAGTTTTTCGATTTCGCAGTTGTCCAGTTTTTAATGAATCAGTTTTACAATTTTTGGTTTTTCAGTTGTCAGATTTCAAAATTTTTTGATTTTTGAATTTTTCGATTTTACATTTTTTAGATTTTTTAATTTTACATTTTTACAATTTTTGGACATCCCAGTCATTATTTGGATTTAATTAATCAATTGCTAAACTTCTAATATTATAATTCTTCGCTTTTTCATTTATTCAACTTTTAATTTTTCAGTTAGCAGTTTCGTTGTTACGATTTACCAATTTTTTTATTTTAATTTTTCAAAATTTCTGTTTTGGATTTTTCGATTTCGTAATTTCACAATTTATCGATTATTAAATTTTGTGATTATTCGATTTTACAATAATTATTATCTACAATTTTATATTTATGCAATTTTTCAGTTTTACAGTTTAATAATTTTTAGACTTTATAATTATTCAGTTTTTCAATTTTGTAATTTCAGGAATTTTCAATTTTTAATTTCTATTTGTTAAAAATATCAACTTTAACTTTCAAATTTTTGAATTGCCGATTTATTTATTTTACAATTTTTCGATTTTAAAAGTACTTATACGATTTTTTAATTTTTGATTTTTCAATTACCAGAACTTTTTGTTTCGATTTTCAATTTTTTTTATTTTTAATACTTATTTTAAAATTTCGATTTTCTGTTTTATAATTTTGCTATTGTATTATTGTCTGATTTTTCGATTTTTCAATTTTTCAGTATTAAAATTATATAAATTTTCAGTTTTGTCATTTTGCAGCTTTTTGATTTTTCAGTTTTTCGATTTCGCAATTGTCCAGTTTTTAATGAATCAGTGTTATAATTTTTGATTCTTCAATTATCAGATTTCCCAATTTCTTGATTTTTTAATTGTTCGATTTTTCGATTTAATAATTTTGCAATTTTTCAGTTTTACAGTTTAATAAATTTTACCCTTATCCAATTTTTCAATTTTGTAGTTTTACAATTTTCCATTTTATTTAATTGTTAAAAATTTCAATTTTAATGTTCAAGTTGTTGATTTTTCAGTTTAAATATTTTACAAATTTTCGTTTTTAAAGGTAACCGATTTTTCAGTTTTTCGATTTAACATTTTTACATTTTTACAATTTTTGGATATCCCAGTTATTATTTGGTTTTAATTAATCAATTTCCAAATTTCCAATTTTATAACACTTCATTTTTTCAATTATTCAAATTTTAATTTTTCAGTTATCAATTTCGTTGTTTCGAATATCAAATTTTTTGATTTTTAATTTTTCAAAATATCTGATTATTGATTTCAATTGCAAAATTTCACAACTTACCTGTTTTTTAATTTTTTTTTTAAACATTTCGATTTTCAATTTTATATTTATTCACTTTTTCGGTTTTACAATTTTTGATTTTTCAGTTATTAGATTTTCCAATGTTTCCATTCTTCAACATTTCGATCTCAAATTTTTTTTTCCAAGTTTTAAATTTCTCGATATTTCAACTTCTCGGTTGTAGACTCCCACAAAAAAATATATAGGGTGACACAAATTCGAAAATGCTGTACTATACAGAGTATCCAACTTGAAAAACACAAGAAAATTGACCAATTATGAATTTACTCCATAAATAGTGTTAGACATCTATATAGCTTTGTACAAATTCAAATCTCGTTGCTTAAAAATATTGAAACTGTGAATTTCTAAATGTGGCCATTTTTACGCAAAAATACAAATACCTATATCTGAAAATAATGGTAAATTAAAGATCATATCTCCGAAACTACTGGACCGATTGTTCTCAAATTTCATATATGTATTAGATATAAATATCATGTAGATGGTAAACTGCTAACCAAACTTTGTCTAATCATCCCTACCAACCACATGATGACGTGACCTCAAAATTGTACACAGTAATTGGGTTTTAAATTGTATAAAATAACATAGTCCTATATGTGAAGTTTATAAATCCGTCTTAAACTTCATCTCGAGACATCCAGATTTTTGAAAAAAAAATCAAAATTGTATAACAAAATTTTTCATATTAATTTTCAATTTGCAAAATCCAGTCACATTTGCATAAAAAAATCGATACATAGTTCAAAAAAAAAAAAAATCGGAAGTGTGGAAAGTCACTCAAACCATTAAAACGCTTCCCCAAATTATAAAACAACGCCAAAACAACAACAAAAACCACTCCAAAACAACGAATAAATGAATACACAACAATTAAAGCAGCTACCAGTACTTGACCAAAGCCACAAAGCTCAAAGGGGTTCCACAAAAACAGACATTATTGTAATTCTGTATTTCATAATGAAGCACAACAAAGCAAAAAAGACATAATACTTGTTACCACTCCGGTCGACGTCGTAAATTAAAAGGAAATAACCTGCTCAAAAACCGCTTGCATTAATCTGATGCCGTGCTGTGCAAGAAGCGGCAAAGAATTGTGAATAGAAAAGGGACCCGAGAGCAGCCTGAGGGGACAGCGGGTATTGGCAATGGGTCGGGGCTTTGTCTGGGGATTTGCGATGGCTTCATTCTGGCACCAGAGCAAAAAACATTTGTTGGTCCACGAGGGATTTTTTGTGAAAATTAAAATTTTTGATTTTTTTGGACCTCGCTGTAAGTAAAATCATACAGTTCTAACTACAATGTTATAACTTACTTTCATCTAATACTTTCCAGTGTAGAAAATCGTCCATCTGTTGCAAACTGTATTTACTTACCTGCATTTTTAATGCTTTTAGGAAATTATGTGTCAAAAGGGGGACGAAAGGTGTAGACGAAAAGACGTACATACATTCATTTATTCAGTTGGTTCGTCATTATATACACAGTTGAAATCTATACAATACACGTAAATCTAGCAGCGAGTAGAAACCCAACTTCTGGTCGCTCAGGGACTAAACCTATCAAGGATCAAGTGATATACATATGTATAAGATATCTATAAGTACAGTCTGATTCTACACATTAACATCGAACAGATTCGTAAAGTACAAGAAGTAATTAAAACCGTAACATGAAACAATAATCACTCAATGACACAAACAAAACACTAAATAAAACAACAATTCGTCTCAAATAATAAGTAACATACTGAATAAGTCTTAAATAGCAGGAACTTAACTATAGGAGTATTACAGAACCTAAGTTCCATACACCGGGGTACTCAGTACGGCTCCCTCAAACAAACACAATGGAAGACATAAACAACACGAACGGAAGGCACCAAGACCCCTTACTGGCCAGATCTAGTCTACTGTCACACAGACACCTCCTTGGTTTCACACGGCTTCGTCTCGCTCACCTTCGCGCTCTCTCCCGCCGGCGCCTTCACGCCCTCCTTCTCCCCATTGTTGTTCTCCCGGACGGGAGGATTCATCGAGTTCAACCTATTCTGTTGCTGCCGCACCAAAAGACTAGGATTCGGGATGTTCCTGATGCTCTGGTTCTGATTAGGCCGTAAATTCCTGATCTGCGGATTCATCATCCGGAACTGACTCTTATCGATCATCTTCAAACTCGGAGGAATCCTCTGGTTGGGAGACGGAATCCTCAAAGTCTGCAAACTCGGGATTTGTGGTCTAGGCTTCTGGTTCTTGTTCAAAGAGGGATGTTCAGCTGCCACTTTAGACAACATTTGTAGATTCGACATGTTCACGTTTTTCCCCTCTTTGGCGGCAGGGGTGGCGAACCCGTTCATGTTTTTCGCGGAGGTGGAAGGAGCCTCCCCTTTGGCGGGAGGTTTAGCTGAGAGATCCAAAGCCCCGATGTTGTCACACTTCTCGGGAGGACCTTTCGGCTCGATGCTGATCCCCGACTTGAAACTGAACGCCTTCTTGATGCGGTCTAACGGAATTGTGGCAGGGGGCGGGCGCTTGGCGGGCGTGGGGGTGGCGGGCTTAGCAGCCGCCACGGGAGCCGAAGGCTTGGCTTCGCACGTCGGCGGGTTGATGAGGGTGATTTCCAAGCTCGGTCGCTTCTCCTGACGGTTGTCTTCGTTTTCGGGTTTGCGTTTGACGCCGGTTTCGATTTTGCTCACTGTGAAGCCGGCGTACTGAGGAGTGTTCAAGATCTTTTTCTCTTGTATGGTGATGGGTTTCTTCTCCTGTGGTTTGGTTTCGGATTTGGGGGGGATTTTCGCTTCTATGGTACATCGTTGTTGGAGGTTGGCGATTTTGCGTTCGAGGGTTGAAGGGCGGCTTACGGGGATGACGGGTGGTTTGGGGGCGGGTTTGGCACTGTCGGTTTTATTGTTCTGGCTTTTTTCTATTGACTTGTATTTGTCGGCGTAGGCTTGGTACGACTTGTTAAGGAATGTCTTCTTGGCTTGTTGTTCGGTTTGCTCGTGTCTTTCAATTTGTACGGTTGGCACTCGAGCACCCCAGTCTTTGTTTAGGGTGGTTTTGCTTGGGAAGTCGCTGCGGAGGGTCTTGGGGGTGATTTCGGCCACTTTTTTCGGTTCTTCGGCAACCTTAACACCATTCGTCGATTGAGAAGGAGTCTCAACCGCTTTATCTTTCTGCTTCTTTTCTTCTTTCTTCTCTTCGGTGATAGTTTCAGTGCTGGTTTCTTTAGAAACGCTGCCACTAGGTACCGTTTGTACATTTTTGTCTTCACTGGACACGTGTTTGTGCCTCACTTGCCTCATCTGTAACAACTTCTCCTTACTACTCATCTCCACCTGACTCTGCGAACTACTCTTATGGTGCTTGTGCTTGTGTCCATTGTGTGGCGTCAACTTAACCTTCAACTTCAACTCCTCCTCTTTGTTCGTGATCTCCGCATGCAACTTCCTCTTCTTATAATTACTCTCGTTCTTCGAGTGCTTGTTTTTCTTCCTCTTCTTACTAAAGTGGTGATACTCCTCATCCTTCTCCCTCTCCCTACTCTCATCCAACTTCTTCTGCAACGCCCACTCTCGATCCCTTATCTCCGCAAACCTCTTAATCTCCTCCTTATCCTGTTCCTCATAATCAAAAACGCAGTCTTGTACTGGGGGCGGCTCAACCGCCTTTTCAGGTACCTCGTGGTTTTGTACTTTATTCTTGCTCTGGAGCTGGAGGTGCGCCAGCAGCCGCTCCTTCTCCTCGCTCTCCTCCTTCTCCTTCTCTTTCTCCTTCTCCTCGATCTTCTCCTCCTTCACCGGTGGTGGCGGCGGTGGCGGCGGCGGCGGCACCGTTTCGCAACTCTTCACCACCTGCAAATGCTTGCCGCCCGTGCTGACGATCCTGATCGGCTGGATCTTCAGCGGCGTGAAGATCCTGTAGAAGAACCGCATGGGTTTTAGCTGCAACAGAAGAAGATCGCCTGTCACGTGATTTACATACAAAGCTGGGTCATTACTATTGGCGAAATCACGGAACTATGACAGCAAGGTTCAACAACCTGGCGATAATAATGACGGACGGTCGCAGTAGGCCGTGTTTGGGACAGACGTGTTGGCGCCTGCTTGATGAATATTAAACATTCGGTGGTAATTGGGTTGGTTTTCGCGGCCTACTTTTTCGGCGAGTGTGAGTACGGTAATGGGGGTTTTATGCATGTTTTTGAAAAGTCGTGGATTTGATTGATGTTCTAGTTTGAGGTAATTGTGGAAACTAGAAATTTAAATTGCTTTCTCTTGTATAACGACAATTACGTGATTCGTTCCCCTGCGAGGGTCTGTTATTACCTTTATAAAAGTTTCGCGTAAGTTATATTGTCCGATGTGAGGAGGCGACGTTATTGATCAATATAAAAACGACTCTTTCGTTCGGAACGAGGAGTTATTAAAGTTTCAAGAGCACTTTCGACGTCGGAATCGTTGTGATCACAATTTATTTCGTTGTTTTTTCTCTATTTTTTTATGTTAGATAAACATGAGGGTTGTAATTGATTAATTATTATTGGATTCTTATGTATTTTTGGAGACTAACACAAAGGGAGCATAAATTAATGAACAAACAGAAAACGTAAACCAATAAAACAAAATATCGTCACAATATAGAAAATAATCAGACAAAAGGGCGTTTGATTAGCTTCGGATGTATTAGAAACGCAGATGTGAGCGATCGTAGCGAATCGGAAACGTTCGGCTTAAAATTATAGAGTGATTATCCCTTTGACTCTTTAAATAGTTTATATCAGCCCTCCAGTAACACTCGATCAATATAGTAATCATGAAATGACTAGAAGAATTCTGTGGAGATGGACCGTAATAAATTTTTGACCCTCAATTAAATTAAAGACAGCTATTAGTCGGAACAGGTGATAAGATGGAAATGATGATGATGGGTGACTTCAAGGTTAAAGCAAGTGATAAATAGTATAGTAAGACGACATAATAAGAATTACGTTAAAAAAATGGTGAACGACTGATTGATCTATCTTGGAATAATTAACTAAAATATAAACTAGTATTTTAAACATAAAAACATCTACAAATAACCTGGACCCAACCCACAAAACGCCTAAAATCAATAATCGATTATGTTATTGTTCGACAAAAAACCTAACTATAATAGACGTGATGGATGTCCGCGTATTAAAAGGAGTAGATTGTGGTTCAAACCACTATTTAGGTATATAAGTATTTAGAGTAAAAACTGCATAAAAATTAAATCCCCACCAAAACAAGAAGAAAATAAGGTAGTAAGAAAATAGAATCACATAACATAACATTATGATAATTAAACCTTGGAATATTTTATAAGAAAGATGAATAAACCACTCATTTTCAAAAGCTCTACGACATCTAGAGGATTTTTCGTAGCTAAGGACCTAGATAAGGATTTTTTGTATTGAACGTTGTGGGTACAATCTAAATATTTTTTTTGGAGCAATTGCTAATCGAGTTTCCGGTTTCCTATCTTCGATGAAGAGGTGCGAATTGACACTCCGTGCCTGACCAAATGTGACTAAGTCAACAGGGTGTCTTTTCGTAACGTAATGCGTTCGAATCAAAAGCAGTGGCGGAGTGTGGGTGAAAGTATTATCTATATTGTTTTTTCTAAATAACTGAATTTATTTAATTGTACTTCAGCGGCGAGAGAAGTACTGTCTAATAACATAAGGTTAATTTTTTAAGTCGTTACAACGGACATCTTTAGCTAGGTATAAAACTTATCGATGTTCTGATTTTTTCAAAGTTCACAGAAAATTAACATAAACGGTTTAAAATTCGTTTTGAAAACAGACTTTACATCTGATAATAATAATGAATTGTTAAGTGCTAGAACCACATGAAAACTGGAAATTATGTAGTAGAAAGCCTATTTTTTTAGAGGGTTACCTTTACAAATACTATCCCCGCCCACCCGCCCACTCTTTTTTAGAAGGTATGTCATTTGCCAAAATCAGTCTTATCTTTACAAATACTAGCCCCGCCCACCCGCCCACTCTTTTTTTGGAAGATGTCATTCGCCAAAATCAGTCTTATCTTTACAAGTACTAGCCCCATCCGCCCGCCCTTTATTTTCTTGGAGGGTATGTCATCTGCCAAAATCAGTCTTACCTTTACAAATACTATCCCCGCCCACCCGCCCACTCTTTTTTAGAAGATATGTCATTTGCCAAAATCAGTCTTATCTTTACAAATACCAGCCCCGCCCACCCGCCCACTCTTTTTTTGGAAGATATGTCATTCGCCAAAATCTGTCTTATCTTTACAAGTACTAGCCCCGCCCACCCGCCCTCTATTTTCTTAGAAGGTGTATCATTTGCCAAATTCATTCTTATCTTTACAAGTACAAGCCGCGCCCACCCGCCCTCTATTTTCTTAGAGGGTATATTATTTGCCAAAATCAGTCTTATCTTTACAAGTACTAGCCCCGCCCACCCGCCCTTTATTTTCTTACAGGGTATGTCATTTTTTGCCAAAGTCAGTATTATCTTTACAAGTACTAGCTCCTTCAAGGTGTTCTGATTTTTAGGAAAGTCAGTATATAGGTATAGAGAACTTTTGCGATTCCCTGGAACAAAGTTGGCATTTTGAGAACTAAATTATGTACTCGCTAACAAAAAAAGAGAAATAGAGAAGTGATTCATATAGCAGCAGATGTAAGTAGATCAAAAGGTTTTCATACAGGGTGTTCCAAAAATGCCGCATAAGCTCGATGGTACGTTGTTAAGAAGGGTCTGAAAAACTTGGAAATAGTGGTTTGAAAAATCCCTAAACCAAATTTTAATAAAATTAAATATTAAAGTTCAATTAAAGTACTAACTTTGTAATTCTAGGCTCTCTAGCTACAATAGGCTCTCCAAAGTTTTTGGACCCTTGACGATTTAAATTCTCTAGATTCTCTAGGCTTCTATGGTTTCTAGATACTCTAGATCCTGTAAATTCCTTCTAGATTCATTCTCAAATTCCTAAATTATCTACACCTTCTAGGTTCTCCGAAGACGCTATTTTCTTTAAGATCTCTAAAATCTAGACTTGCCAGATTTTATAGATTTTCTGAGCTCTCTAGCTTATTGCCGACTCTCTTAAGTCTCTAAATCTCCATTTTACCTACAATCACTAGGATCTAGGTCTGCTAGATTTAATAAGTTTTAGACTCTCTAAAATCTTTAGACTCTAGACGATTTAAATTTTCTAGATTCCCTAAGCTGGAGATACTCTTAACTCCGTAAATTCTGTATGTAAACCTTCTAGGTTCTCTAAAATCTTCTTTTTTTAGGATCTCTAGAACCTAGATCTGCCAGATTTTATACATTTTCTGGGGTTTCTAGCTTACTCCAGAATCTCTGAAGTCTTACCACTCTTTAAATTCCCTAAATTCTCTAGCTGTTTATAGTTTCTAGATATTCTAGACTTCATGCTCTAGAGACTCTCTAAGCTCCATAGGATCTCTAAATTCTCTCTAGATTCCCAAATCTCTAAATTATCTAGACCTTCCAGATTTACCAAAGTCTCCATTTTCTTAATTTTTCTAGAGTCTAGACTTACTAGATTTTATATTTTTTCTGGGCTCTCTAGCTGCTGTAGGCAATTCTCTAGAATCTCTAGACTAGATTCTATATTTTCCCCCTAGATTCTCAAATAACTAAATTATCTACACCTTCTAGGTTCTCTTACGATGCCATTTTCTCTAAAATTTCTAAAATCTAGACTTGCCAGATTTTATAGATTTTCTGAGCTCTCCAGCTTATTGCAGACACTCTAGAGCCTTTTGTTTCAAAACGATTTATATTTTCTAGATTCTCTACTAGACACTCTAGATTATCTATGCTCTAGAGACCCACTAAACTCTGCAGACTGTCTTAAATTCTCTCTAGATACTCAAATCCCAAATTATCCAGACCTTTTAGGTTCTCTAAATCTCCATTTTCTCTAAGATCACTAGAATCTAGGTCTGCTAGATTTAATAAGTTTTCCTGGCTCTCTAGTTAACTATAGACTCTCTAAAATCTTTAGGCTGTAGACGATTTAAATTCTATAAATTCTCAATGTTTTGGAGATACTCTTAATTCCGTAAATTCTGTATCTAAACCATCTAGGTTCTGTAAAATCTTCATTTTTTTAAGATCTCTAGAACCTAGCTTGGCAGATTTTATAGATTTTCTGGGCTTTCTAGCTTACTCCAGAATCTTTGCAGTCTTACCACTCTTTAAATTCCCTAAATTCTCTAGCTGTCCGTAATTTATAGATATTCTGAATCTCATGCTCTGGAGACTCTCTAAACTCCATAGGCTCTCTAAAGTCTCTCTAGATTCCCAAATGTCTAAATTATCTAGACCTTCTAGGTTCCCCAAAGTCTTCATTTTCCTAATGTCTCTGGAATCTAGACTTACTAGATTTTATATATTTTTTTAAGTTTTTGAACCCTTGACGATTTCAATTCTCTAGAATTTCTAGGCTGTCTATAATTTCTGGATACTCTAGATTCTCTAAATTCCTTCTAGATTCTCAAATCCCTAAATTATCTACACCTTCTAGGTTCTCTTAAGACGCGCTTTTCTAAAAGATCACTAAAATCTAGACTTGCCAGATTTTATAGATTTTCCCAGCTCTCTACCTTATTGCAGACTCTCTAAAGTCTTTTATTTTAAAACGATTTATATTTCATAGATTCTCTATGCTCTGGAAACCCACTAAACTTTGCAGACTGTCTTAAATTCTCTCTAGATTCTCAAATTCCAAATTATCTAGACCTTTTAGGTTCTCTAAATCTCCTTTTTCTCTAAAATTACTGGAATCTAGGTCTGCTAGATTTAATAAGTTTTCCCGGCTCTCAAAAATCTTTAGGTTCTAGACAATTTAAATTCTGTAGATTCTCACTGCTTTTGAGATACTCTTAAATTCTCTATATAAACCTTCTAGGTTCTCTAAAATCTTAATTTTTTTTAAGATGTCTAGAACCTAGACCTGCCAGATTTTATAGATTTTCTGGGCTCTCTAGCTTACTCCAGAATCTCTGAAGTCTTACGACTCTCTAAATTCTCGAAATTCTCTAGCTGTCTATAGTTTCTAGATATTGTGGATCTCATGGTCTGCAGACCCTCTAAACCCCATAGGCTCTCCAAATTCTCTCTAAATTCCCAAATCTCTAAATTATCTAGGCCTTCTAGGTTCTCGAAAGTTTCCATTTTTCTAATTTCTCTAGAATCTAGACTTACTAGATTTTATAGTTTTTCTGGACTCTCTAGCTACAGTAGGCTCACTAAAGTTTTTGGACCCTTGGCGATTTAAATTCTCTAGAATCTCTAGGCTGTCTATAGTTTATAGATACTCTAGATTGTCTAAATTCCCTCTAGATTCTCAAATCCCTAAATTATCTATTCCTTCTAGGTTCTCTTAAGACGCCATTTTTTCTAAGATTTCTAAAATCTAGACTTGCAGAATTTTATAGAATTTCTGAGCTCTCGATTTTATTGCAGACTCTCTAAAGTCTTTTGTTTCAAATCGATTTATATTTTCTAGATTCTCTAGGCTGACTATAGTTTCAACACACTCTAAATTCTCTATGCTCTAGAGACTCCCTAAACTCTGCAGACTGTCTTAAATTCTCTCTAGATTCTCAAATCATAAATTATCCAGACCTTTTAGGTTCTCTAAATCTCCATTAGAATCTAGGTCTACTAGATTTAATAAGTTTTTTCCCGATTCTCTAGTTAACTATAGATTCTCTAAAATCTTTGGGTTCTAGACGATTTAAATTCTCTACATTCTCCCTGCTTTGGAGAATCTAGAGAATTAAATTCTCTATATAAACCTTCAAGGTTCTCTAAAATCTTTGATTTTTTTTAAGAATTCTAGAACCTAGACTTTCAGATTTTATAGCTTTTCTGGGCTCCTTAGTTTACCCCAGAATCTCTGAAGTCTTACGACTCTTTAAATTCTCTAAATTGTCTAGGTATCTATAGTTTCTATGTATTCTAGATTTCACGCTATGGAACCTCTCTAAACTCCATAAGCTCTTTAAATTCTTTCTAGATTCTCAAATTTCTAAATTATCTAGACCTTCTAGGTTCTCCAAAGTCTCCATTTTCTTAATTTCTCTAGAATCTAAACTTATTAGATTTTATAGTTTTTCTAGGTTCTCCAGCTGCAGTAGGTTCTCTAAAGTTTATGGACCCTTGCCGATTTCAATTTTCTAGAATTCCTAGGCTGTCTATGGTTTCTAGATATTCTAGATTCTCTAAGGTCTTTTGATTCAAAACGATTTAAATTCTCTAGAGTGAGTTTAATTGACAATCTAAAATTCTAATCATAACTGTCAAAAATGGCATCTGTTAACAGCGAAAAATTACGTAGTATTCCAGAAAATGATTATTAAATTATTAATAACTAATTATTTAACTATCTGTTATGTGGGCAGTTCGTTAAAATAAATACCTAAGAATTTCTTCAACTTTGAAATTTCATATTTTCAAACATTTGATTCAGGATTTTTTTTTTAACCGCTTTTTTCGACATATAGATAATACCAGTAACAGTGTAAGAAGCTAAATGACATCCTTTAAAGATGTTTTGACACAATATAATTTTTTTTATGTTTGTCTATAACATCAAACTTTTTTCAATCCACTATATACATATTTTTTAGAAATTCTTGTAGAGGTTGTTTTTTTGCATTCATTAATGGATCATACTTTAATCACCTATACTTTGCCACTGTCTATGATTCGAACGCATTCGTTACGAAAACACACTGTTAGCTTATTTATATTTAGTTTGGAGTGTCTCGCGAAAAATCTCAAGGCGGATTCATAAACAACAAAAATAAGAGACATTTATCTGTGTAATAAGAATCTGGACAGACTGCAGATAGACAGGCAGAAATGGCGACCTAATGTTTCACACCTTAGGAGTTATAAAACTTCCTTAACTTAATAAACTTCGGTTCGAATGTGAACATTGAAATGTTTATGATTTCATTTTTTCACAAAGTTACGCTGGCACCTTTATCCTTTTTACCATGATTGGTTACTAGTATAATTTTTGAATAAAGTGTCCTATGCTCGGACTATGGCAGGTGACAGTTTATTTTACCATGATGGGAAAAAATAAAATAATTCATGCGACAGAACGGAACTACGTATTTTGTGCGGACTTTTATCAACACTCTGTACAGCCACCAAGCTTTATACACCTTTAAATTTCAAAAAACGTGGCAACCGTGGCAGAACAATGGTACCATAACTGTCATGTACGATGATGGAAATCTAATGGACGATTCTAACAGCCGAACCATGACGACGAAAAAGTAGCCATCGTCGTATTCGTCGACTTGTAGAAAGAAAAAATTCATTTTGAATTACAACCCCACTATTCTTATTATTGTGCCGTTTAACCGTCGTGAGTATAAATTGTGCAACGTTCCTTAACACATATTTACCGAAATAATTAAAGAACCTTTTAAATAAACAAAGTCCACTTCATTCCGTCAACAAACGTCACAAATTTTAACCAAACAACTAAAAAGTAATAATAAAAACAAACTAATCTCCTCAAGCCGTAATTTTTCGCAAAATTGCCAAACCCGATTCCGCAACAATCCTCCGCGCAACAATTCCCACGTTTCCTAACGCTTTATCAACCGATATTTCCCAACCCGTTCGAACGACCGTTTCGCAGTTTCTTCCTGTTATTCGCAAACCGGCACATCTCCATGACGTTTATTTTCCTTTTAATTAAAGCGAAAGTGCGAAATTAACATTAACATTATTCCGAACGCAAACGCTGACGTAACAGCAATTTACACAAACCAGTGGCGGCGCACCGGCGCGATAAACCGACCGTTCACACCGCGAAATTTCAATAGTAATGACCCCGGCGAGGTCAAGCCGCCGCGGAGCCCCAAATCGGGGCGCACGGACGCCACTGGCGCGCATTGATAACGCGAATAAAATCTATTTTTAGCTTCCGGACTCCATAGAATTTTTCCGCGCAATAAAAAAAGAACGACGAATATTTACGAGGCAATTTCGACGCCGACTACAAATAACTGCGTCCGACGATAAGGCAGCGGGAGAGGCGGCGATTGGGAGCGACAGATGGCGCTGTTTGCTTACTCTTTTCCATTTGAAGGTGTAGGCGACGTCCATCACGCTGAAGTGGAGCGGCAGGACCTCGCCGGAGTAGATGATGTCGACCTGGAACAGAAAGAGGACGTGATGAACGAAATGAGGCATTTACCGGGAGAGTGCTATATTGGCGTTTTATCTGTTGCCGTTACACACTGGTTAATGAGGAAGTAACGAGTACAATTTTCAAAAATACAAATTTTGAGTAGATCGTGGAGTCGTATGTGCCAGTCAAAAATGCAGAAATTTAACGACCAAGCAAAACAAATAATTTTAAACATGTTAGGCTATCTTGATAGAAACCAAGATGTTATGGAATTTAAGAACAAAAGGAAGACAGAACTGGCCGCAGAAATGTTGTAAAGACAAAAGTGAATCCTGCAGATTTAATGTCAATCCAGGAGATTATCTATAAAATATATAGTTGTTTCTAAAAAATACATTACTATTATTATCCATTCACGATCTTTATGTAGTAAAGTAGGCTTTGATATTTTTTCTTTAAGTTGGTTAAACTGATTTGATGATTTATTTTTTTGTCTATCAGTAGTCTGATTGACATTTGCTTTGAGCTGGATTGCCACTTTTCTATTTCATTTATTAGATCAGAATTATTATAGTCTTTGCCATTTCTATTGAAACACCACTTGTTAATCGTAAATTTGGCAATGCTCATATTCAGACAATTTTGTAACTAAAAGCCGTTGTCAATCAACCGAAAGCTGTTATCAATTGCTAAATTTTAAGCAAAATCAACAGGTGGTGTTTCAATAGAAATGGCAAAAATATTAGACACAATTTTTTAATCAAGCAAACAAATGTTTTAATTTTGTCAGCATCGATAATTCGTCGTTGTGACAAATTCACAGATCATTGCGACATTATTTAAAAAGAAAATGCCTAAAATGGTTTTACTGCAACAAAAAATTGCAATAAAAAGATGTTTTTTGCAGTTTCGAAAAGACCCGATCTTTCTTTCGAAGAAGTAACTATGAGGGTCTTGAACATATTTTCTGTAATGTAAAAATACGCTGTAAATATATGTATTTTTTTTTTTTATTATAGGTGGGAACATCAACTGTGACGAAAATTTTATCAACAGGGGACCAAAATTTAAAAACATCACTATCTGCCAAGAGAAAACCAACGGATTTATTTACAAATTATATGTTTCGGAAAGACCTGTAACGACAAATTTGGCACCTTAATGACACAGCGTAACTTTATGAAAAAATCAAATCATGAACATTCAAATGTTCACATTCGAACCGAAGTTTTATAACCCCTAAGGTGTGAATAAATAGGTCCCCATTTTTGTTTGTGTATCTGCAGTCTCTCCAGGTTCTTATTACACAGATAAATATCAAATTTTATATGCATCATAGGAATATCGTGTATTTTATAAAATAACATATTCTTGCATTTGTTGTTGATGAATCCGCCTTGAGATTTTTCGCGAGATACTTCAAACCAAATATAAACAAGCTAATAGAGTGTGTTTTCGTAACGTAAAAAAAAATATGATAAATTAATGAATGCATAAAAACAAACTCTACAAAAAGCGCTAAAAAAAATGTATAGTGTATTGAAAAAAGTTATAAAAAAATGATAATGGTGTCAAAACAGTTTTAAGGATGTCATTTAGGTTCTTACACTGTTACTGGTATTATCTATATTTGTTTTAATGTATAGACTTTACCACAAATAAACCTTCGTAAAACTGTTTTTTTTTTAATTTTTCAGAGATGCAGGATTTGTTGTACTGTATTTGATGTTGAGTTCATTTAAATGCTTAATTTTATCTTGCAGTCTACGATAACCTTCCACATTTCATATGCAATAATTTTTCAAATATGTAGCTCATACTTATATAGGGTGTTCCAAAAATAACCCACAATCTCGATGTTAAAAGGCTATATAGAATGTTTGAAAGGATTAAACTTCAAAGTTGAAGAAATTCTTAGGTAATTATTTAATAATAATTTTCTGGAAAACTATCTACAACGTAATTTTTTACTCTTGGCAGATGTCATTTTTGACAGTTATGATTAGAATTTTAGACTGTCAATTTAGAGAATCTAGAGTACCTAGAAACTATAGACAGTCTAGAAATTCCAGAGAATTGAAATCGTCAAGGGTCCAAAAACTTGATAAAGCCTACTGTAGCTAGAGAGCCCAGAAAAACTATAAAATCTAGTAAGTCTAGATATAAATCGTTTTAAAACAAAAGGTTCTAGAAAGTCTGCAATAAGCTAGAGAGCTCAGAAAATGTATAAAATCTGGCAAATCTAGATTTTAGAAATTTTAGAGAAAATGGCATCGTAAGAGAACCTAGAAGGTGTAGATAATTTAGAGATTTGAGAATCTAGGGGGAAAATATAGAATCTAGAGTATCAAGAAACTATAGATAGCCTAGAGATTCTAGAGAATTGAAATCGTCAAGGGTCCAAAAACTTTACAGAGCCTACAGCAGCTAGAGAGCCCAGAAAAAATATAAAATCTAGTAAGTCTAGTTTCTAGAAAAATTAAGAAAATGGAGATTTTGGTGAACCTAGAAGGTCTAGATAATTTAGAGATTTGGGAATCTAGAGAGAATTTAGAGATCCTATGGAGCTTAGAGTCTCCAGAGCATGAAGCCTAGAATACCTAGAAACTATAAACAACTAGAGAATTTAGGGAATTTAAAGAGTGGTAAGAGATTCTGGAGTAAGCTAGAAAGCCCAAAAATCTATCAAATCTGGCAGGTCTAGGTTCTAGAGATCCTAAAAAAAGAAGATTTTAGACAGCCTAGAAGGTATACAGAATTTACGGAGTTAAGAGTATCTCCAAAGCAGTGAGAATCTAGAGTATTTATAAATTACACACAACTTAGAGAATCTAGAAAATTTAAATCGTCTAGAGCCTAAAGATATTAGAAAGTCTAAAACTTATTAAATCTAGATTCTAGTGATTGTAGGGAAAATGGAGATTTAGAGAACCTAAAAAGTCTGGATACTTTGGGATTTGAGAATCTAGAGAGAATCTAGAGTGCCTAGAAACTATAGGGAGCCTACAGAATCTAGAAAATATAAATCGTTTTGAAACAAAAGACTTTAGAGAGTCTGCAATAAGCTAGAGAGCTCAGAAAATCTATAAAATCTGGCAAGTCTAGATTTTAAAGATCTTAGAGAAAATGCCGTCTTCGGAGAACCCAGAAGGTGTAGATAATTTAGGGATTCGATAATCTAGAAGGAATTTAGAGGATCTAGAGTATCTAGAAACCATAGACAGCCTAGAGAATCTAGAGAATTTAAATCGTCAAGGGTCCAAAAACTTTGGAGAGCCTATTGTAGCTAGAGAGCCTAGAATTACAAAGTTAGTAATTTAATTGAACTTTGATATTTAAAAAAAATTGGTTTAGGGATTTTTTTAAACCACTTTTTTTCAAGTTTTTCAGAGCCTTGTTAACAACGTACGTACCATCGGGCTTATGCGTCATTTTTGGAACACCCTGTATGAAATCCTTTTGATCTACTTACGTCTGCTGCTATATGAATCACTTCTCTTTTTCTCTTTTTTTGTTAGCGAGTACATAATTTAGTTCTCAAAATGCCAACTTTGTTCCAGGGAATCGCAAAATTTCTCTATACCTATATACTGACTTTCCTAAAAATCAGAACACCTTGAAGGAACTAGTACTTGTAAAGATAAGACTGACTTTGGCAAAAAATGACATACCCTATAAGAAAATAAAGGGCGGGTGGGCGGACCTAGTACTTGCAAAGATAAGACTGATTTTGGCAGATGACATACCCTCTAAGAAAATAAAGGGCGGGTGGGTGGGGGTAGTACTTGTAAAGATAATACTGATTTTGGCAAATAATATACCCTCTAAGAAAATAGAGGGCGGGTGGGCGGGGCTAGTACTTGTAAAGATAAGACTGACTGTGGCATATTATATACACTCTAAGAAAAGAGAGGGCGGGTGGGCGGGGCTAGTATTTGTAAAGATAAGACTGATTTTAGCAAATGACATCCCTTCTAAAAAAGAGTGGGAGGGTGGGCGGGGATAGTATTTGTAAAGGTGAGACTGACGTTAGCAAATGATATACCGTTTAAGAAAATAGAGGGCGGGTGGGCGGGGCTTGTACTTGTAAAGATAAGGATAATTTTGGCAAATGATATATCCTCTAAGAAAATAGACTTTCTACTACATAATTTCCAGTTTTCATGTGGTTCTAGCACTTAACACTTCATTATTATTATCAGATGTAAAGTCTGTTTTCAAAACGAATTTTAAACCGTTTATGTTAATTTTACTGTGAAGCTTGAAAAAATCAATACATCGATAAGTTTTATACCTAACTAAAGATGTCCGCTGTAACGACTTAAAAAAGTAACCTTATGTTATTAGACAGTACTTCTCTTGCCGCTAAAGTACAATGAAATAAATTCAGTTATTTAGAAAAAACATTATTGATAATACTTTCACCCACACTCCGCCACTGCCTTTGATTCGAACGCATTATGTTATGAAAACACGCCCTGTTGACTTATTCATATTTGGTCAGGCACGGCGTGTCAAATCGCACTTCCCCACCGATGATGAGAAACGGAAAACTCAAACACAACGTCCAATTCTTCTACATTTTCTTGAACACTAGAGGAAATACAAAACATCCTTATCTAGGTCCTTATATACGAAAAATCTCTAGATGTCGTAGTTTTTATATGTATTTTTGTTTTACAGCTTTCGAAAATTAGTGGTTTATTCGTCTTTCTTATAAAATATCCCAAGGTTTAATTATCATAATGTTTTGTTATGTGATTTTATTTTCCTATTATCTTATTTTTTTCTTGTTTTGGTGGGGTTTTAATTTGTATGCAATTTTTACTCTAAATACATATACATATACCTAAATAGTGGTCTGAACTACAATCTAGTCCTATAATATATTAATACCCGGACATCCATCACTTCTATTATAGTTAGGTTTTTTGTCGAACAATAACATAATCGGTTATTTATTTTAGGCGTCTTGTGGGTATTTAGTACGGGTAGCATATCCAAAAAGACATGGCAAGACGGT